ATAAATATATAAATATAAATATAAATACAAATACAAATATAAATATAAATATAAATACAAATATAAATATAAATATAAATAATAAAAAATATAATTATTATACGCGTAACACGTTCGCACCCGGGAAGAGAGCGTCTCCCTTGTTGGGCTTTCGAGTTTTTTAGACGTGTGTAGCGGCGGAGTGAAAAAAATAGAAATGGCGTATAAGGAATTTTCGAGGAGCGCGAGTCGACGACACGGAGGAGCACCCGACACGAATGTGCGAAGGGTAGTAGTCGGGTGGGAGATTTAGGAGACGAGACGACGAGGGCGCTAGGCAGGCCAAGAGTGGGCTTCGCCCTTTTTCTTTGTTTCTTGCGCGCGCGTGTCCGCCACTTCTCAGCGTGCTCTTTGCCGACTGAATGCCGGAATGGCACTTCTCTCTCGCCCCGGCGTCGTCGAAGCACTTTTCCCTTTTCCCGGGTGTGCAACGAGGGAGAAAAGAGGACGAATAAAGCACGGAAAGAGCAAGGAGGGGGAGGTTGCGTACATAGACGTAGACACGCGTGTTACACGGATGACGTGACGCTGTTTACATTGCTTATCGTGCGAGGGATGAAAAGGAAGAGAAGGGAGAGAGAGAGAGAGAGAGAGTGAGAAAGAAATGAAGGAAGAAGAGAACGCGGGGGCTACGAGCCGTAGATCGACGGATTGGAACTCGCGAGGCTCTATGCAAGTTAGACGAGCGGCGAGAACAGGGAAACAATGAGAGAAAGAGTAAGAGTGGGAGTGAATGCGACCTGCTTTTAAGATGATGCGTATCGATAAGGGAAGAGATAGTCAACCAGCGCGAAGGACGCTGTTCGATAAAGGAAGAGAGGAAAAGAGCATTAGATATACAGGGTCGCGAGTAGGAGAACGCTATGCCCCGAGCGTTGGTATCGTCTAAAGTCTGGCCTCATCCAATGCCGAAACGATGACCGTTGAATTTAATCGGCTATTGTATAGCTGTCCAATCGATTACTTGCATTAACCTCGGTACATACATACATATTACACGTACGCGAATTATTGTATCATTGATTTACCATAATGGCGTATATGCATGACCCTATAGAGGAGCCAGCAAGGGAAACACAAGCAACGTTCACCGACACGCGTTTCACACAGGCTCGCTGTAAACGTACATAAAACACTTACACACACCTGCGTACACGTACAGATACCCGGTTCCAACACGATATAATATACGCTTTCACACGCGTCGGCGGCTTTTTAAACGAATTATCCTAACACGCGACTAAACACGACACGCATATACAGGGACAAACATACACACAGCATACGCAAACACGCTCACGCAACACCAGGATGAACCATACGCAAACCATCGAGTTAAGCAGAACAAGATGCATTAAAAGAAAAACAAAGTAAATATATATATATATATACACACATACGCGTGTATGCAGTTATTATACCGTGCGTCCGTATATGTACAGAACGTTAGTTAGTGGCGAGATTGCGAATCGCCAATTCGATGCGACAGTGCGTGAGTAAAAGCGGAAATGAGAGTAACGCGTTCGATAAGGATGACATTTCGACGCGAAGCGAGATTGTGCGTCTCTATATATCCCGGATGTGTGCGAGAAAGAGTGGGAGAGAACGTGACGATCGTGTGTGCAAGACAGAGAGAGAGAGAGAGAGAGAAAGAGAGAGAAAGAGCGAGAGAGAGAGAGAGAGAGAGAGAGAGAGAGAGAGGGAGAGAGTTATAAATCTGTAAGATTTTCGAACACGGTCATCTTAAAACGCAATTTGCGAATTAAGGAGGAGAAGAAAAGGAGAAGATTGTAAAATTGATGCGAGCCAGAGTGGAAAGACGTGTAAACGCGAGAGGACGTTAATAATTGCGTAAACGTAGCCTTAATCGCGGAATAACATTGAACACCATATAATATTCTTGCGTTTTTTCGCGCTTCGAGGTATTTCGCTGATTAGACGGGCAAAGGCCGCGAAACGGGAGATGCTCCATTCGATTATTCGTAATTGGTCTAGGTTAAATGTCTTTAATATCGTACGGGAAACAGGGAGGTATTAATTTCTTCGTTTCGTCTTCGGCGCACGTGATATTTTACGAAACCTTGCCCAGCCCTCGAGGAAGGTTCCATTCGTATAGGCTCCAGGGGTATCTCGCGACGCTCGAACCTCCCTGCTTTTTGGAAGAGAAGAACAAAAAGAGAAAGGGAAAGAAGCAAAAAGGACGAAAGAGACAAGGAGAACCGTCGACGTGAAGTAAACTCATACCGCGGGCTATATAATTCGTCTTCTGTTGATAATGTCGCTGATCAATGCTGTTTTCGTACGATACTATTATTACTATTATTGAATTCGTCAAGCGAGAGTAAACGAGCGATTATTAATTCTAATTATTACAAAAATCGACGGATATACGTGCGACAATTCTAGATACGGTTATTATTGTATTCAACAACAGGGTAAAACAAAGAACAAAGAATAAAAAAAAAAAAGATGAAAAAAAAAATCGAGGAATAAGGATGACTTTAAATTGGGACGCGTGTCACGTCGAACGGCGGCCATTTTGTTTTCCTGCGCGCGGATGTGCGCGCGCGCACGACGAGAAAAAGAGAATTCGAAAAAATGGTGAAGGACGAAGAACGAATGAACAAACGAGTCAATTCATACGAACGTTAGCAATACTACGTCATGACCACAAAGGATAAAAAATGGCAAATAATGAACGGGTGGAAAAATAAAGAGAAACTAATAATAATAATAATAATATACACGAGTAAACTAATATCGCGGATAAACTTACTTGCATTCTTAAGTTGGTGACGCGTACACGCGTGACGGGTGATCCCGCTCGTTCTCGAACAAAGCAAAAAAAAAAAAAAAAAAGAAAAAAAAAAAAAAAAAACGAATAAAAAAATAAAAAAGGAGAAAAAACGAAAAAAAAGAAAAAAAAATATATAGAAGAAAGGAACGAGAAAAGGACGAAGATAGGAATGGAAACGCGAAACGCAAACGAATCACCATCCCCGGGACAAAAGGAAGCGTACGGTGAAACGAACTACGGTCGCGTGTATCTTCAACGCTGCAAATGCCGATTTCTTGCAAGCGAAACAAAATGGTAGCTGCTTCGTTACGCCCCAGGATTAACGATAAACGCATGTGAAAGAAAAAAAGGAAAAACATACGACTATACGCATCGGACCAAAACCATTTGGTATTCAGGCAATTCGATAATTCGGAAATAATTAAGATAAAAGCCGTCGAACACGGAGGAAATAAAATATTCCGCGTACGCTCGGAAAAAAAGGTAATTGGCACTGTATTACGGTGGACCGTACGCTAAACGTACAGGGCGATGCTGCTTTCAGACGAATGCAAGAAACGAATACGCAAGAAACGAGCGTTTCGTCGACGATGTTCTATTCCCATTTTTTACGTTTCGATTCTGGCAAAGTTCGTTTTTCGAAGGTTGCGCGAAATCACGCGGTTTAGCGAACGAACCGCGGCATAATCCG